TCAGTCATAATGAAAGCATTTCCTTCTGCCATTCCACACTGCCATGAACATATAATGGCATTTTTTAAAGACTATATTTTCTGTGGTACCCAACTTACTAAAATGAGGACAATCATCCTAGACGAATTTTATAACATCAATTTTGGCAACTGAGAATCCTCCTTCCCCTCAACTTGTCAGCTCTTCACAATACTCAATTGCTCTTCACAATACTCAATTAGCTGGTATGACAATCTCTTACATGGGGCAGTCTGTCCCATGTAAGAGACTGTTAGAAAATTATATTGGTGTCTTAGATATTTTATGACAGAAAATTAGATGAAAACATTTGATGAAATGAATTGTAGACTTCTTATCCAATGAAATGACTACTAGACACCAATGAAAGTAGCTTCTTACTCATATTCTACTGCAAACTGCCATGAAGTGAACCCAAACCCACCACTGCTGACCCTAACCGACCCTGGAGGACAAAGAAGAAATCCTCCCTAGGTTTTCCAACACTGTAAATCTTTAGTGTTGAAGAACACTACAGGGGGGAACATTACAGGGGGCAACAGCCTCATTTTTCTCCCACAAAGTAACTACTTAGTTTTAACCAATGACCTCATGGTTAGCAAGCCGACAGAACCCACTGTGCCACCAGGGCTTGAAAAACTTCCATAAACCCTCATTTTTATAGAAGAGATGTCTTATCTTTTGATTTTGATTTTTTTAGTATATCCCAGAAAATATATGTACATTCTAGTAATAAATGTGCCAAGTTAATAAAATACATAACTGCCTTTTTCACCCCTTTCTTCATAATGTAATTCTTGGACTGTGTAATGAATATGTGATATTCCTTTTCAGGCCTTTCTCCCAGGAAAGCAGCTCTATTCCCGTAAGGTGATAACAATACTCTTAGTTGCATACTATGCTTCCATAGACATTTCATTATGCACACAAGCAAATACATGTATGCTCCCATGCATAGACATACTCTCCACCTCATTCTGCATCTTATTTTAAATTTAGATATCTTTGAGATTCTTTCAAATGAAATACAACTGTATTCCATGTAATAGAAGAACCATAATTTAACTAGCCAGCATGTTAGTGCCAGGCATGTAATCTTTTTCCAATATGCCACAAAACAGAAAGAAATAGAGAGGAAGAAAGACAGAGAGACAGAGACAGACACGGAAGGATAAATTGACAGAAGGAGTGGAGGAAGGGGGGGAGGGAGTATTGATAATAATAAAAGCAGTAGTATGACTGTAGTATAAATTCCAAGAAATAGAATTTCTGAATCAAATATTCTATGGGCTAGGTTGTGATATTATCATTCTTATAGACAGGATTGTCTTCCTCTATTGTGGTGTTTCTGTCATCGGTGCTTTTGTCTTGTAGGTTTTATATCATGTTTTAGAAAAGCCTTCCATGGTACCCCACCATTGAAGCATTCTCCCATATTTTCTACTACTTGTATAGCTTAATTTATCCTATGAATTAATATTAATAACCCCACTATTCCTATTAAATGTCACCCATTTATTTAATAATATTAAATAAATTTATTTAATAATATTATTTATTTAATAATATTAAATAAATGAAAAGCTGAACCTACTGAATCATTACTTCATATTAATTCCACTGTGAATTTGGATAATCTATGAAGACGTGGCCTGTTCTCACATTTTCATCAGAAATGTGAATGAAATCATCTATGAAGAGGCTTCAAAAGGCTCCTAAAAACTGGAATCAAGGGTTAATAGAATTTTCCCCTTAATGTTTCGAAGCCCCATTCTATGACTGCAAGGTGATCAGCTTTGTGAAGACAGCAGGAGCAGAAACAAGAAATGCATTTGAAGCAGATGTTTTAGGGGCTGAGGAGTCAAGAGAACAAAAGAAACAGAAAACCTCTCTCCCATCGAGGAGTTTACATCCTCATACAGAGGCCCACAAATGAAAACCGTTTTATCCACTAGGCTGAAAAGTAGGCTAAAAGTCTTGAATGTACTATACTCTGGGATAGTGTTAGCAGGGATGGAGAATGTGTGTGCGCGCTCGCGCCTTCCATAAGTTGAAATCGATTTGATGGCAGATATTTGAGGTTTGGGGTGGTTGAAATGCTCAGCCAGTCTCGTGTGGGGCCAATTGCTATGAAGAAACCTCCAAAGTCGAAGCTCTCAACAAGCCTGTGCACTCCCTCCCACAGGAGGCATGTCCACTGCTGAAATACTTGGGGCATTACTCATCGGTTAGTACTCCCCAGTGCAGTTGGATTGTGCAGTGCCCTAGAAACAGGGCTAAGCACTCACTGACTTCTGCTAACAGTCCCTGCTCACACATAACGCCAAAGGATGTGAAAACGCGCTCTCTCTCTCTCTCTCTCTATATATATATATATACATATATATACATATATACATACACACACACAACTATATTATTAGAAAGAATAGAGACATCGAAGGGTCTAGATTATAATACATTCTACATTTCAACTCGCTGTGGAAAGGATGAAGATGAAAACCTAGTCAGCATTATTTCCAGGCTCAAGCAATTATGGCAAATACATAAGACAACACAAGGACAGAAAAAGTTTTTCAAAGTCACATGTTATTCTGCTTGCATTTTCGGTCCTGGAGTATCCCAGTCAGTTAAGCGGTGGTCTTTCTCAAAACATATTTTGAAATAGAAATCACACTGTAAAACGCTATCATGGAGCAAAGTCAGCCAAACCATCATGACTTCTGCGTGTGGGCTCATGACTGTTCCCTCCTGTCCATCTCAGGGATGGAGAAATTCCCAGGACACACCTATTTCTACAGAGGCATTTGCTCCCATCATAAGCGGCCCCACGTACAGTGCTTTCCCCTTACTGTGTCAGGTCTTTAGTCTCCTTGTCTTCGTGTCAATGACTCGTGTCGGAACACCTACTTCTATCAATAACACAGCATGTGCTTCTCCAGTGACTGCCCCCTTACCACTTTTACAACCTATTTACATACTGAGAGATAAAAAAACGCATTTGCTCACACTGTGTATTAAATTAATTCAGCAAATGGTTCTATCTTTAATCTTAAGTAATATAAAGAACAGCTGGATGTTTGAGTTAATTATGGCCAAAAACCCCCAAAAGTTAACTACATTAAAATTAAAATTGCTGAATTTCATAAATGTTCGCCAGCAATTAAATGATCGCAACCCCACAAGGCCTTGATAGATTTATCTTGCAGCTTATTTAAAGTGCATACATTCCCCAGATGCAGTTCATAAAATGTGATCTGGTGACTCTCTAGCTTTGACCAAAAGAAAAGTCATGCTGTCCTAAAACATTTTCATATTCAAGCACTGAAAAATACCTCACACTTCCCTCGTATCTGGTGGACAACGGTGTAGCTTTGATAATTTTTAGAATGGAATGAGGGGAGGGAATCGAAAATCTTCTGGAGGAAAAATACACATACATAGATGCACACAAACATCAACCTCCACCCCCCTCCGCCCACAGAAACGAGTGTTTGACGAGAACGTTCTAGACCCCAACCCTCTCTGCCTTTTAGGTTATGACTTCCACGCACACAGGACACCTGAAGGGCTTTGGGAGAATAAAAAACTATTTCCTCACCTCACACCGGTGAATAATTTAGCATCTCTGAGGGTACTGCTATTTCCCTTTGCAGAAAAGTGACAGGTCGCTGTGATCAGTGAGACATTCTTGCACACCAAACCTGTACCACACGGTTGGGGACACCTGGGCATTCCAGCCTGTGATGGTAGAAAATGTGTGTTTCTCAACTACACATTTAACCCGAGCCCCTCCTCCAACCACTGAGGCTGCAAATCATGCTGAGTAGGTTTACATCTCCATCCTTTGAACAAGTGAGTGCCCGTTCCGAATGAACAAGTGTTAAATGCCGGGGGAGCAAAGCCAGTAAGACTTAATGAGGAAACTTTACTGGAGTTGACAACTCTAGGAGTTGATGTAACCCTTCAACCCACGCATACATACAGGAGGCATTAAAAATATATTTTTGGAAGGAGAGACCCTGCCTTCAAAGACTTTACCATGGAATAAGTGGCAGACACTACGCAGACAATTGCACAAGTGGAAATTGTTCTATTCATTAGGATTTAATTAAAAATCAAGGCTGTTTGAAATCAAGGAAGGGTAAGAGAAGGCACTAAGGAGACACACACACACACACACACACACACACACACACACACACACACACACACGCTGTACACGGCTGACCAGTTGCCATTAATCACTGCTCCTATCACAAGAATGCCTCAACGTTAAAATGACCTCAACTCTCAACTTTTCAAAAGGATGAAGAAAGGAGGTACCGCCTTGCATGTAACTCTAATAAAACACAACTGTGATTAAAAGGCTTTTTTTTCCCATCTGACTTCTTTCTCCAAGAAAAATAGTTGCCTAAATCAATGTTTCTGTGTTCTGTTTTCAGTAAAAGGAAAACTATACAATCCCACAAGTTTCCTTGGACAAATTTGGCTTGTTCGCCTCAATTAGCAGAAGCGTTTAGTGCCAATTTGGCTGGCCAGCTGTATTAATCTTACTTCCTGATACATCTACTTTTTTTCAGTCTCTTTTTCCAGTTTCTCTTCCTCCTCCTGCTGTTAAAAACCAGAGGTGGAACACAGCAGAATCACGAGGGACAAGTTTCCAATTCTTACAATGCGCCTCCGCCCCTCCTCGCCCCAGCTCACTTATCCACGGTTTCATTTTAGGAGGTTTCAGAAAATGCTCAAGGCCTAACACGACGGGATCTTGCACTGACCCGGGGCGTGAAACACCCCTTTGCCCATTGTCTCTACTGCTGCCCAACAGCTTGTGATGGTGGAGCATCCCCTCCTGGGCCTCCCCTATACAGGATAGTTGATCATAGGTCCACGCGTCCATGACAAACCGGAGTATGTATCAGGTCTGTCCAACCCAAGGCTTCAGTCAGAGAAGTCAGAAACATGAAGGAGGGACCACTTACAGGGAGCTGCATTTCTGGGCAAAGAATGGCAGTGGTGGCGGTCGGTCAGCTGGGCTCCTACTCCTTGTGACCTTTGGCAGAACAGAACCCAATGTTGTGTTCGTGGCCATCCTCACGGTCACCGCTACCTTGGAGTCCACTGTGGCAGCCCCTGTGACTTCATCCATCGGTGAAAACACTCCATCACTCAAACCTCTCATCTGACAGGATTAATTTCCCCATGGAACTAAATGGAAACTGCAGGAAGAGAAGAATTTTCCAGGCACATAAACCTTCCACTGCTTGCCTTTAAACATAATTTAAGCACACTAATAAGCCCAAAAGCTAAACTTTAAGAAATTTAAATTCAAAAACCACATCAAGTTATGAGAGGCCACTGTCAACGCATTCCATTCTCCTGTCAAATTGCATACACTTGAGGCCCAAAGACAAGCGACCGCTGACTCTGGGGCCTTCATAGCCACGGGGCCTCAAGAGTTTTATATAAAGGTTAAATGCACATCAAGAAAACATCCCAACCCAGTGCTGCCCAAGCCCACAAGCCCAACCTGGCACCTGTACATAATTCTTTAGCTTCACAATTGCAATTAAGTAGCACCTACACCTTAATTCTATAATCCTGTGAATGTTTCCCCACCTATGAAAGTTTGTAAGCCAACCACTTCATGCCTTTATCCCAATTTTGAGGATCCAATTTATATACTGTCCACTTACATCAACCCAGTTCTCTGAGAAGACAATCATATTTTT